AAGAAGAAATCATGTGGACTAGGCAATTACCTTAGCGGAATTCGTTATAAGGGCGTCCTCCTTCGCCATACACCATCACTATCTCTCATCTTGGCGTTAATACAAGTCTTCGCTTGGTCTGATCACTGCTCAATGTGCGCGTCGGCACCCGTATTCCCCTCCGACGTTTGCAGAAGAGGATTCAACGTCTTACTTCTCAAGAACACCCTTCCGGTTCCAACAGAGCATGGGATTGAAGACTAAGTCAGAGGATTCTATTGCTTAACAAGCCTCAAACAATTGCTCCATGGTTTTGTTTAGGCAATAAAGTCCGCCGACCAATGGTCTACGATATCCGGGAGGCCAATAGACAATTGACGAGAAGTTGAACCGATGAATGTTTCTGGTCATACATGGATAAGTCCTAGAAATACGTCGGGAAAGAACCAAGCCGAGAAGCGAAGAGGCGCTAAAAGAAAATCTCGTCCAGGAGGAGGCGACGAAAGAACGAATTTTTTCTATCTCGGCTCAAGGCTTAGCTAAGAGAAGAAGAAAAAGAACTGGAAGATTTTTTTAAGGGCAATTCATATTGATGGCCATTCGCACCCCTCGAACAATCTCCTTGTAAATGAATGACCATATTGGCTATTGAGTCGTCGAGGTTCAACATTAGTCGCGTACCTAGATTCTTTGTTGTTGTCGGGATGAATAGTAGATAAGGGTATTTTTATATGGAAGAACAGAATGGCAGGAGAGTATAATACAAAATTACTATAGCCTTACTGATGATTAAGTAAGAAGAGGAGAAAGAGAGAAGAGAGAGAGAGAGAGACGAAGACTATATTTTTCTTAGAGAAAAGTAGCATAAAGAAGGCAATCACTCGTTCAATGAATCTAAATGGTGGTGCATCTCTCAGTAAATTTGTCAGTTAAATGACAAAGTAAGATCGAGCTGGGTAGTAACAGTCCTGAGCATTGTTAAGATCTCGTTGAACTTGGAACAAATGTTTATAGCTTGACTTTTTATTTTTGAAATTGATCTGCAAACAATAGATGTTACTTGACCTGAGTTGTCTCCTATGCTTATCATAGTACGCTTCACTAATGAGTGATATTCACACACATAGAGTAAATTTAGGAATTCAAGTGCTGAGAATATCTTGTGTTGGTGGAGTCGTCAGTTATCATTATTTACACACAGACTAGCATCAAGAACTAACGGACTTATGTTCCTCTTCAACTACACAGTGATAATGTCATTCTCTGCCCAAATCGACCAACTGGTAGACGCCACTATTGTTCTATATCTCCCTGTGGGATCAATTGATCAATTCCCTTTACGTTGAAACAGTGCTTTCCAACCAATATTTAACTTTCGAAGATTGATAATTTTGTTTACGAAATGTGATCTAATTACTCAGAGTAGCTGTTATCCATCTCTCGTAGAAAAAAATATACCAATGAAATATCCTGTTAGAACCAGAACCGGATCTATATAGTACTTATCTCTGCCATGTATCAGAGTGAGAAAGACCCCTCATGAAAGTGATTGCGTATGTGCCATATATGCTCCTACCAGTTTCCCACACACTAAAGCTGTAAGCAGGTTTGTTTTTGTTGTCCAAGATCCATGTGAAATCCTAATTACACCGAGGTATAAGGACCGTTTGAATTAAAACCTGGTCGAGCCTATAATTTTTTTCTAGTGCTTCGTTACTTTTCTTTTCCTGTCCTCTTTTTTTTATTTGGTATGCTTGAAAATAACGCAAGGGAGCATAACTCTATTCTAGAGTAGGGATTTAGGTAGAACCAAACAAGAATTTTTGTTTGTTTAATATTGTTTTATTCACACCTGATTGGGCACAAACGGTGGTTAGATATCAGTTTACCATCGATGCGGCTTTTATTTTTGTTCGTTGAGAGGGGAGAAGAGAGCGCTAGGGGGCAGTTGTGGGAGTGGGGGGAAATAGTCATATAACATTAATCACTGAGACAATATTGCCAAGAGAACAAAACAAACAGCTATAGCTGGCACACAATTGAAACAAGGCACATGGAGACGATTGCCTACCGGAGTGGTAGGCTTCGCGAGGTGCACCACTGGTCACACTGGGAAAGTTGCGTATCTAGGTCCACGATCACACTATCCGTAAGAATATTATATATCGGAGAGAAGGGACATGAAAAGAGAGAGTATCATTCATTGGCGACAGATAGTCGGAAAATCCGAGAATCAAACGATAAGGGACATAAGAGGTCCTAAGACAAAGAGGGACTGTATGTAGACTTAGATAAGGATGTGCTACGTCAAACAAAGACCTCTTAGTGACCGGTTTATGCTTTATCTCCATAAAAGGTTTGATCTGAGCTTCACTAAAAAGTAACGCACATAAAATTAGGAGTAACAAATAAGAATGTCAATAATTTTCCATATTTGTCGAGTTGTGGTAACTATTTGCGAAGTTGAGTTTATCTATATTATATTTATAATTTCATATATGTCACGAGCACAACCAGTCCGGTTCCTGGTTGTTCCTCATTAAAGAGGATTAAATAGCACAGATAGAGTAGTTTTAGAGAAGATGAGTTTCTTCATAGTTTTTAGTCCTAAAACTTCGACTTACTAAACTTGTATAAAAATGAGAGATATTATTCTCTTAAACATTACTTTTGATGATCACACTTACATTCGGAAGTTAATGGCTAAAATACTCGTTTGCTCTCCTCAGGGTCAGAGAATAATGTTACTATCCAACCGACAGAGATCAAACAAATGAGGTATTGCATTTGTTTTGCACTTATATTAGAGAGTTTCACAAAAAGATTTACGAGTTAAGACTTTAACAGAGCAACCTAATCATAAAATCACTGCAGCAATTTTATGTTTAAATTGTAAAGGATCACATCTTTCACACATTGCTTTGTATTCTACCTACAGAACGGTTTTTTTATTTGTATAATATTACTACGGCAAGTGGTGGGTCGACATTCCTATATAATGTATGTCGATATAATTGGCTCATGATAAAGATTCAATTTGCAAATTGCTAGAAAACCTTTACATCACCTTCAATAAATGACAATAATATTATAGACACACAGTCTTCCATTACAAAACATGCATTAATTTCAGGACATTAATAAAAATGACTTATGATTTAGAGCACAGAGTATTATTGACAACCGATGAACGTAACAATTAAATGATAGTATAATATATATAATGTATCCATTCAGTTGACCGAGTTTGGATTAGCGGAGGTTATATGGCAAATTAGACCAAAGTTATTCCATTTGATGTCCTTCTGGTTTCACGAATAGCTAAATAATATGTAGAACCCATTTCTTAGAACCCTCAATACCTAAAATATGTCACTTCCTCGTTATAAAAGAGTGACAGAGGAGAATGTGTCTTGGATGTTTTTTTGTAAAACATAAAAAATATGAATGTCGCGTCATTTTTCTCTTGCTATATTAATCGTCATCTAAAATCAGTGATTTCGAGATGAAGATTGAGTCTAATCAGGGTTTAATTTTAATTTTGAATACAGAAGTTTCCAATAGAACACAGAGGGAGGGTGATAAACTTTTATTGATGGAGATGCGCAAAAAAAAGCAACAAATACATCAATAAATGAGGGAAGTGCAAAAAGCATCATAGCTAACGCTTCACAATAAGTTGGCACCAAGGAGAGAAGT